ATAGACAGTCAGACAGTCAGTCAGTCAGTAGTTTTGAGTCTCTCATCCATGTATATGTATATATATGTAAATATTCTATTTTGAGACTCGAGTTGCCTTTTTGGCCAGATTTCATCAGTTAAGTTATTTTATGTCTTTGCATGGCATTGAGTTATTCTGTTGAGTTAAGTTTCCGCTGAGTTAAGAAAGCCAGGCCAAGGGTTCGCTTGGGGCCAGCAATGGTCTCCGAGTGCCGGTCCCGCCCAGGGTGTAGGCTCGGGGCGTGACAGTAACCTTAGTGTTTCTTTAATCACTAACTTCAGATATTTCAACTTTTCGAGATCATTGTCATCCAAATCTTTCTTCCCTTTACAGGCACATCTCACTTCTGCCTGTGCTTTGTCCATGACATATGAGTTCTTCATCAGTTCAGACAATGCCCATTGTATTGTTGTTGCTGAAGTTTCAGTTCCCCCAAAGAACATGTCCTACAACATTGAAGTTTTACTATTAACATAAACTACCTCTTATGTAACATTCTGTGATTATAGAGTTTAAGAAACAAAAGAAGACCTATGTTAATGATTGACTGTTTAGATGAGATCAGAACCAAATCAACTTACAAGAATGACTGCTTTGATGTTATCATTTGTCATAGGAAATCGAAGTTCATCATTCTCCATAACTCTGAGTAAAACGTCAATCAAATCTTCACCCTCAAACTCGTTGTTGCCTTTTTCCCCATTTTCTTTATTCTGTTTATGATCATTAATAATATTCTCCAATATTACGTCAAGCTTATGATGCATATTCATCAATCTGTTTCTCTTTCCACTGATTTGATGAAGTAATTTCCATGAAGGGAAGAGATCCATCACATCAAATCCGGCTAATAAGTCTAGTACTTCCCTCATGATCATTAACAAATTATCTCTATCATCCCATACTTTTCCGAAAGCTGATCTACATATAACAGAGCTGGTAAGTTGAAGAGCCTTTTCAGTCATGTTAACCACATCATCTGGTGTGGAACGAATTGATGTAACAAGATTATGAACCTCATCTTGTCGAATTAAACTAAACAACTTGACCATCTTTGCACTGAGTAGCTCTGAAATGCATATTTTTCGCATCTGTTTCCAGTAATCACCATATTCTGCAAATGCAATGTCTTTTTGACGATAAAAGACTATATCAGACGCCACAAGTTTTGGCCTTGCTGCAAAAGAAAGGTCATGAACTTTTAGAATTTCTTTTGCCAAATGAGGAGATGATACTACAACTGCATCAACTTCCCCTAGTTTCAAATGCATCAGTGGACCATATTTTTTGGCTATTTTTGTAAAAACATGGTGTGGAAGTGCTCCAATAAGGTGATGCAAGCTTCCAATAACAGGCAATTTCCATGGACCTGGTGGTAATAAACTTTGGTTCATTTCTTTCCATTTTCTAACAACAATAAAGAGAATGAAGAAGAAAAGCAAGATTGAAATTAAGTTAAAATGAAAGTGCAGAATCTCCATATTATCAAAATGAGGAAGATTACAAGGAAGAACTTTTAGTGAATATGTCAAATTTATAATTCATTTGATGAAGATGTTGCTATCAAAATGAAAAGTTAAAAATAAAAAGAAATGGGAATTGTGTGGCCAGTTTTGCATATATGCAAGTAAGGTAGATTAATAGATATAGCTTAGGTATTATTGCTGATTAAATAAGTTAACTGTGCTTTGAAATATTAACATCTATATCTATATTTATATATAATCTAATCTAAAGCTAGTGTCAGTGACGAAGCCAAAATTTTTATCAGGGTGTCCAAGAATAATAGTACGTGGCTGTCATTTTATCGGGGTGTCCAAGAATAATGGTGTGTGTGCTATTTGAGGTTCGAATCTGGAACTTCTTGATTTTAAATGGACACCCATTAACACTGCGCCAAAGGCATAGCTTTCGGAAACCTTATAGACTTTGAAGTCAAGATTAATGCTCTCTTCATTCAGATGACACAATAAGGACTGGACTAGGCGCCAGATGACAGACATTAAAGGTCAGAACTAGCTTTGCATCAACAGCCTTCTACCATCACTCCTATGCACTTATAAGGATGAAATAGGATTTATTACACTTATAAAGATTGAAATGGAACTTTGCACAGAGTCTGAATAGGAAAGAAAGCATCATAAAACACTATGATAATGACATTTTGTGTCAATATTGTGACAAATCATGTGGAATGGCAATCAAGCGAAGATCATGTTTCCTAGTTGCAGATAATCCAAGTGTTTCAGTCATATCCAGATCCTCCGGTTGTTGTCCATAAGGAAGTTGCCAATCGAAGTGATAAAGCAACTGTGCTAGCGGATACACAACATTAGCTAAACCAAAATGCATTCCTGGACACATCCTGCTTCCTGCACCAAACGGAATAAATTGATAGTGATTTCCCTTAAAATCCACACAACTGTTTTCAAATCTCTCTGGCATAAAATTTTCAGGGTCGTCCCAACTTTCAGGATCTCTTCCCATAGCCCAACAATTAACAATCAATTTAGTTTTAAGAGAAATAGTGTATCCTTCAATTGTTGTTTCCTCCCTGCATTCTCTAGGGGGTAGAAGAGGACCTGGAGGGTGTAAACGTAGCGTTTCTTTAATCACTAACTTTAGATACTTCAACTCTTTGAGAATATTATCATCATAAACCTTCTTTCTGTCGAAAGTTTTTCTCACTTCCTCTTGTACTTTAGCCATGACATTTGGGTTTTTCATCAGTTCAGACAATGTCCATTGTATTGTTGTTGCTGAAGTCTCAGTCCCCCTGAAGAAAATGTCCTACAACATTGAAGTAATTAACATATAACTTTTTCAAATGATGGGACTGTGATCATAACATATAGTAACTTACAAGAATGACTGCTTTGATGTTATCATTTGTCATAGGAAATTGAAGTTCATCATTCTCCATAACTCTGAGTAAAACATCAATCAGATTTTCACCCTCGAACTCGTTATTGCCTTTTCCCCCATTTGCTTTACTCTGTTTATGATCATTAATAATATTCTCCAATATTACATCAAGCTTATAATGCATATTCATCAGTCTGTTTCTCTTTCCACTGATTTTGTGAAGTAATTTCCATGAAGGAAAGAGATCTACCACATCAAACCCGGCTAATAAGGCTAGTAATTCCCTCATGATCATTAACAAATTATCTCTATCATCCCATACTTTTCCGAAAGCTGATCTACATATAACAGAGCTGGTAAGTTGAAGAACCTTTTCAGACATATTAACCACAACATTTGGCATGGAACAAATTGATGCAACAAGATTATGAACCTCATCTTGTCGAATTAAACTAAACGACTTGACTATCTTTGAACTGAGTAGCTCTGAAGTGCATATTTTTCGCATCTGTTTCCAGTAATCACCATATTCTGCAAATGCAATGTCGTTTTGACGATAAAAGACTATATCAGACGCCACAAGCTTTGGCCTTGCTGCAAAAGAAAGGTCATGAACTTTTAGTACTTGCTTTGCCAAATGTGGAGATGATACAATAACTGCATCAATTTCCCCTAACTTCAGGTGCATTAGAGGTCCATATTTTTTGGATAAATTTCTAAGAACATGATGTGGAAGTGCTCCAATAAGGTGATGCAAGCTTCCAATAAGAGGCAATTTCCATGGACCTGGTGGCAATAATCTTTGGTTCATTTCTTTCCATTTTCTAACAAGAAGAAAGAGAATAAAGAAGACAAGCAAGATTGGAATTAATTTAAAGTAGAAGTGCAGAATCTCCATATGATCACAATGAGGAAGATTACAAGGAAAAACTTTCAGTGAATGTGTCAAATTTATAATCTATTTGATGAAGATATGAACAGTTAAAAAGAGAGGGAGGTTGTGTGGCCAATTTTATTTTTTTTGGTTTCCCCCCGTACGATATCTGCATTGGAGTTCAAAGCACAATTTTTTTCCATATTCAGAGCTCGAACCCGAGACCTTTGATCAAGGGAGAGTGAACCTGAGACCTCTAATTAAGGGAGGAGCAACCTCATCCACTGCACCACAATCTTTGTGTGGCCAATTTTGCTTATATGCAAGTTAGGTAGATTTATAGATATACCTTAGGTATATTACTTATTAAATAAGTTAACCGTGCTTTGAAATATTAACATCTATATCTATATTTATATGTGGGATGGCCCGTGCTCAACATCGTAAATCTATTTTTCCATAGATAATCAATTTATTCAAGTTATGTGTTTGTATTAGTAAAGAAGGATGATCAAGTTGGAAATAAAGTATGTTCATTCAACCTGCAAATTATATGCAATACCAAATCATAGATAAAATAGAAAGACATTAAATGTTGACACAACTCAAACAAATTGCACCCAAAAAAATGTTATCTATATTATTGAACATTAACCTTAGTTTAAGTAAATTAAATGAGGGTATATCAGTTCTAAATGATAAAGTTGAGGGGTCTATCAGACCCTTTTCCTTTTCATTCTTTTTTTTTTTGTCTTTTTTCTCTTCTAATTTTGCTAACAAAAAAAAACTCTACTAATAATATTGGTTCTTTTCCTCTTTTCTATTTGAAGTCCATATTAATTGTATGTGTCTTTCCCAGTTTCAACAAGAGTAATTAGTTAGTATTTTCTAAGATCAATCTAAAATGTTGATAATGAAAATATTCTTAAAATATTGACCTACTTTTATATCTTCGTTATTTAAATTAGAGCAACTTTCACATATAGCAAACACAAAATTCATAGTTGTATACTATAGCAAAGTTTGCATAATTGCGCTCCATAGCAAACATATATATGTATAATTCGCTATACATATACAAAAAAAACAGTTGTATAATCTGTTTTGGTATACATATACAAAAAGATCAATTGTATAAAGTGAGAGAGGCGAGTGAGAGCGAAATCTGGGAGAGTGGCAAGCGAGATCTGGGAGAGGGGAACGAAAATATATGTATATATACAATTTTCTCTCACTTTATACAAACACAAACGCATTTTATACAATTTGCGTTTTTTGTATAAAGTGAGAGAGGCGAGTGAGAGCGAAATCTGGGAGAGTGGCAAGCGAGATCTGGGAGAGGGGAACGAAAATATATGTATATATACAATTTTCACGCATTTTATACATTTGCGTTTTTGTATAAAGTGAGAAAGGCGAGTGAGAGAGCGAGATCTGGGAGAGGGGAACGAAAATATATGTATATATACAATTTTCACGCATTTTATACATTTGCGTTTTTGTATAAAGTGAGAAAGGCGAGTGAGAGAGCGAGATCTGGGAGAGGGGAACGAAAATATATGTATATATACAATTTTCACGCATTTTATACATTTGCGTTTTTGTATAAAGTGAGAAAGGCGAGTGAGAGAGCGAGTCCTTTAAATAATATGTTATAATATTAATGTCCAAATACATAATAGTGTTTTAATTATTATAGAGTCCGAGCTTTTCGTTAATTATTTTCTTCAATAAAGTACTAACGTGTTGGGTAAAACTAACATGTTCAGCCCCTAATTTATAGGAGTTTAAATTCAACTAATAATAACTTTTTAAAAGCAAATTGTCAAAAAGGAGCGGTCCAATCCCACACGACCCAAGCCTTATGGGCCAACAAATTTGATGGGCTAGGGCGGCCCGGTCCTTCATTTGGAAGGGCCTGAAAGTACTCAACCCAACCCAACTCTAGAAAGGTTGTGGGTTGGGGCGGGTTAGCCATTTGTTTTTTTTTCTTTTCAAACTTAAAATTCTATAACATCAAGAAAATGAAACGATTTTCAAATAAAATATAACAAATAATGATGTTGTTTCAATAACACTAGCGAAAAATCTAGTTGATTAGCATGTATCTAGGATACTAGATACACGAGATACATGTATCTGGTGTGATGCATCCCAGATACGGGAGCGAGATAAGTGAGTGGTGAGGGCTAGGGTGATGGGAGGGAGGCGAGGGCGCGAAATTTGTCTATGTATCCTAGATATATGTGAATCTCACTTGGATAGAGTGTATCTAGAACAAATTACACACCTAATTTTGAGTCCATGAATCTAGACGCACCAAAATCTGGTAAGATTCGTAATATTACAGCATAACATGCATCTAACTAATTATCACATACAATCGCGAAATTTTTATAAGTTACCATTAAATAAATAATTTTGATCATGGGTCGACCCTTGTCTTGCCCCGATTAAGCCTCAAGGGTCAAAAACTTATATGGATTGGGCTTATAAGTCCTAATTTTAGCTTGAAAATTTTATCACAGTCCTATCCCAATAATAGGTTGGGTTGGGATACCCCATGAGTTAAGCCCATTTTGACGGCTCTAGTTATTATAACAAGAAGTTCTAATGTCATAGTATTTCACTCGGTATAACACTAGTGATCACTTGAATGACTTTGAAAGAAAATATCCTCAAATATCAAAATATCTATTCAAATATTAATGTCAAAATATAAATCATAATTTGGTATAGAAGTCATGTTTTCAATTAATGTCATGACGAATTATTTTCTTCAACAAAGTACTAACGTGTTGAATAAAACAATAATGTTCTTCGTGTAATATTTCCCTTATATAAAGTTAATGCATTCATTATTTTTTCTCATAGCCAACTAAACGAGCCCTTAGTATTTTCCAAATACGAAGGTTTACTACTAATTAACATTGTGTTTGATGTACTGCTACAGCAGGGTGGTTTATCCGTTTTTTCGTGGAAGGAAATAATCTTATACCTCAGGTATTAGGAGGGAATTAAGTTTCTTAAGGACACTCTATGAATTCAGTGGACTCGGATATAATTCTGTTTCATCTACATTTCTGGTTCTACTTAATTTGAAGTTTTGTAGTATTTGATTTTCGAATACAGTTAGGATAACAATAACAACCGCAGTGTTTCTTTGATCACTAACTTCAGATACTTCAATTCTTCGAGTTCATTGTGGAATGGCAATCAAGTGAAGATCATTCTTCCTAGTTGCAGATATTCCAAGTGTTTCAGTCATATCCAGATCCTCAGGTTGTTGTCCATAAGGAAGTTTCCAATCGAAGTGGAAAAGCAACTGTGCCAGCGGATACACAACGTTAGCTAAACCAAAATGCATTCCTGGACACATCCTGCTTCCTGCACCAAACGGAATATACTGAAAATGATTTCCTTTAAAATCCACACCACTGTTTTCAAATCTCTCTGGCACAAAAGTTTCAGGGTCGTCCCAACTTTCAGGATCTCTTGCAATAGCCCAACCATTAACTATCACTTGGGCTCTAAGAGGAATAGTGTATCCATCAATTTGTGTTTCCTCTCTGCATTGCCTAAGGCCTAAAAGAGGAGATGCAGGGTGTAACCGTAGTGTTTCATTGATCACTAACTTCAGATACTTCAACTCTTCGACATCATTGTCATTCAAATCTTTCTTCCCTTTACAGACACATCTCACTTCTGCCTGTGCTTTGGTCATGACATTCGGGTTCTTCATCAGTTCAGACAACGCCCATTGTATTATTACTGATGAAGTTTCAGTCCCCCCGAAGAATAGGTCCTGCAACATTGAAGTTCAGCTATTAATATATGATTTTGACAAATGATGAAACTAACAAAAACTACCACTTGAGGTAGCTAGGAACTTAAGAAATTAAAACCTTTGTACATCCCATTTTATGTAACATTACGCCACTACATGGAGTTTAAAAAAACAAAAGAACGACTTCCCATTTGTTCTAACCTTGGTGGACAGAATTACCTAGTATCTGTTTCTGGTGGCAGGTATCCCGTGGAATTAGTCAAGGTGCCTGTAAGCTGACCCAGACACCACATTTATCAATAAAAGATACACTACAAGAAAAGGGTGAATTACATGGGGATTAGTATGAAAATTTGCAGGAAAATAAGTTTCCTGAGGATTTTCATACTAATCCCTAGAAAAATTCCCATGTAATTCACAGTTTTCCTGTAGTGATATACCAACAACTAAACGAAAAATGGTAATATTTCCACATGTTTCTTAATCTGTTCCTCTCCTTATAACAGAAACAGCTATTATATCAAACGGTTAAAACATGAGAGAGGTAATATGTGAATGATTTTAAGATTAAGAAATTTTCACTCTTTTTTCATTCGTCTTAGTATATGTGGCACAATAAGTGTAAACATGAACAAGACTCTAAACGAATGATTGTTTTGATGGGATAATGACCAAACTTACTAGAATTACTGCTTTGATGTTGTCATTTGTGATTGGAAATCGAAGTTCACCATTCTCCATAACTCTGAGTAAAACGTCAATCAAATCTTCACCCCCAAACTCACCCCGACCCTTTTCCTCTTTATGTTCATGAATTATTTTCTCTAAAATTACATCAATCTTCTTATGCATACTCATCAATCTGCTTCTCGTTCCACTAATTTCGCGAAGTAATGTCCAAGAAGGAAAGAAATCATACACATTAAATCCGCCTGTTAAGGATAGTACTTCCCTCATTAACATCAACAAATTATCTCTATCATCCCATACTTTGCCGAAAGCTGATCTACATATAACAGAGCTAGTAAGTCTAAGAACCTTTTCAGATATATTAACCACAACATTTTAGGCGTAAGAACGAATAGATGCAACAAGATCATGAACCTCATCTTGTCGAATTAAACTAAACGACTTGACCATCTTTGCACTAAGTAACTCCGAAATGCATATTTTGCGCATCTGTTTCCAGTAATCACCATATCTTGCAAATACAATGTCTTTTTGACGATAAAAGACT